TGGTTCTGATGCCTACACCCAGGCTCCACTTTGCTGTCATCACCCCCACCTCTAGGCTGCCCAACAGGGCAGCAGTGGCAGTGCAGAGGAGCCACAGGGCAGCCTGGGCATGGCCTCCAGGCAGCTGCAGCAGGAAGGCAAAACTTGGGGGGCTGAGTTGATGGAGGACACACACACACCCACACACACACACCCCTGCAGCATGCACCTGTCCAGGAATGCAGCTCAGCGACATGTAGGTAAGTCTGGGGGGGGGAGACAGATCAAGGCCCCCACAGTGAGGGGGGGAGTAGGGCAGGGGTTGGAGTGAATGGAGCTGCAGAGGCAGGGCAAATCGTTGTGCAGATTTGTGCATGGGGCAGTAGCAGGCTGCCCGCTGTGGGCTGGCGTTCTGCACCCTGCTGCCTTGCCCTGGGAACCATGTGCTGGGCACACATTCAATGCCCACTCAGTGGTGGGAGGCACAAAATGACATCAAGCAGTTCCCAAGGCAAAGGCACCAGGCCCCCTGACCCACCATGGCTGCGGAGCCCCATTCACTCCAGCCCTTGCCCCACTCCCTCCCTCACCGTGGGGGCTTCAATCTGCAACCCCCCCTTCCCTCTCCTTTGGCCCCTTCCCCTTTACAGACTTATTTGCTGGGTGCTACTCTACACACTGCTGTGCTACTTTCCTGTAGGGTTACCATATTTCCAGTTTCAAAAAAGAGGACGTCTGTTTGTGGGGGGGGAGCAGTGATATGCCCATGTCCTGCCCCTGCCCCTCACTCCCAGGCCACACCCAGCTCTGCTACTGCCCCTCACTCCTGACCCACACACAATACCCTGCATCCTGCCAGGGCATGCAGGGACCGCCCCCCACCCCCACCCTGGGCTTCATACCCCACAGCCCCCACACGTTCACAAATTCTCCTTTCACATACGCACCCCACAACCTCCCCCCAACACTACTAAGTACCTGCACAATTTTGCATAATTTTTGAGTTTTTCTGCACATAATTTTGAGTTTTTAGCTGTGCAATTAAAATTGCAATCAGTTGCAACTAATTTTTTAATCATGCAACTAATGGTGATTAAATGTTTAAATTCTTTGACAGCCCTATCAAGAAAGCTATATTTTTTGTTAAGAATCTGAAGTAGTGGTATACCTTTAACTGTAATGCCTGTAGAACTAGTAAAACAATATCTTTGGATTATTTTGCCTAGTTTGTTGTGTTTTTTAAACTTAATGTATAAACTAGCAAATTACAGGTTTCCCTCACTTTATGTGGGTTCTGTATATGCAAATTTGCTTGTATGCGATGACCTTTTTATACCCAAAATTCATTATATGAGATTCTGCATAAAGGGAATCCACTTTACAAGGTAACAAATAGAGAGATGTTCCAAGATGTCAACTGCATCGGCAGCAGGTTAAGTCAGCTGGAGCGGCACTGGGCTTTTCCCGGTGGGGGGGCTGGGCTGGGCTGGGCTGGGCTGTTCTCAAGGTGGGTGGCAGCTGCGCTGAGAAGGGGTCTACAGGGGGACTGTAGCCACCCCAAGATTCGACATGGTCCCCCCCAACCTTCCCCTCCCAGTGCCACTGCCACCCACCCCGAGCACAGAGTGACCCAACACCACCCCTCCCCTGCTACCAGGAAGAGCCCAGCCCCAGGAGCTGGAGTGAGTGGGGCCTCAATCTGCCCCCCCACCAGTGCTGAGGGAGGGAGTGGGCCTGGGCTAGGGCTGAGGCAGAGGCAAGCACTGCCCAGCCAGGGGCCCAACAGGGAGGCGCAGCTCCTGCTGCTACAGGCTGCCACTGTGGGCTGGGGCCATGGGACGCGCCAGGCTCTTTTCTGCAGGAGGGACTGGGCTGCGCTGCGCTTGGTGCGGGCAGCAGCCGTGCTGGGAGTGGGATCAGGGGGGCTACAATGAATTTTGGGGTGAACTGCACCCCCCCATAGCCCCTCTCCCAGCACCACCACCACCTGCCCTGAGTGCAGCCGACCCAGCCCCCACCAGAAAGAGCCCGGCATGGCCCCTGGCCCCAGCCCAGCAGCCTGTAGCAGCAGGAGCTGCACCCCTTTGCTTGGACTCCAGTTGCAGCACCTGCCTCTGCCCCAGCCCTGCTCCCTCCCTCTTTACCAGTGGGGGGGCAGGGGCAGATGAAGGGCCCGCTCACCCAGGCCCTTGGGGCTTGGCTCTTCCCAGCAGGGTGGGGGGAGGGGGTTGAGCTGCTCTGTGCTTGGGGCAGGCAGCTGCAGTGTGGGGAGAGGGGGGCTACAGTGAATTTTGGGGTGGCTGCAGCCCCCCCCACCCCATAGGCCTCCCACCACCACCACTGTTGCCCACCCCAAGGTCATCCTGGCCCAGCCCCACACTGGGAAGAGCCCAGCACCGCCACAGCCCCAGCAGACTTACCTGCTGCCAATGCAGTCAATGTCTTGGAACATATCCCTGTTTGTTACCTTGTAAAGTGGGTTCCCTTTATACAAATTCAAGTTATGCACAGTTTTTCAAGAGCACATCTACTGCATAAAGCAAGGGAAACCTGTAGTACACATTCCAAGAAAGTTATATTTGTTTTTGCTTTGTTCTTAACCTGAATAATATAGAACTGGACACTTAGCATACAAGTAAATCTTCTAGTTTCTCCAACTGGAGAAAAATGTGTGGTGTGTTATATGTGATGATGTACCACACCATCTGTACCCCACTTTTCAAAATCCTAGATCCGCCCGTGCCTGCGTCAGTAAATTACAACATAAAATTCCTTTTTTTCACAGCAGCAGGGGAATATTTTTGTTTATTCCTTGGAGGAAGCCCACCAATATACAAAAAGTCTGTGCTATAGTATATGAGTGGCCTCCTCTTATATATAAGGAAAATCTAATAAGATTTTTTTTTGTTAGGTTCTTTTTGTTTGAGTTTCTCAAAAAAATATGGCTTCCCCAAAATTTATAGAGTGCTAGCTCTGGTTTCTCTTTGGCAAAAATGAGTGGAGTAAACCAGGCTTTTAGTGGAGCGTTTTGTGAAGGATTTGACACTGGCTGAGAAAGGAAGATGGTTTTAATTACCTTGCTCTGAAGAAAAGTTAACCTGGTTACACATTGGGAAAGCTATTATCAGGATCCCTTGAAGCATTCGGAAACTAGGGACATGAGGAGGAGAGGCTAAGGCAGAGTTTATGAAGTTGGTGTTTAGAATTAAACCAGCATTTCCTGTTTCATATGTCCAAGCTCAAAAGAGTTTTTAAAATTATTTTCTTCAAGAAGTCATTGGTGAAAATGCAGTAACATCTGAAAATGTTGACACTTCCTATAAATATCCATTATGTTCATTTACATTACAATGACAATATATATCACCCATCTGCACAGTACATGAACTGTTATGATTGTATGGTGATGATCAAGTGAACTCTAAACTGGAGCACTTGAACAATAAAACTGTGTTTTATGGGCCCTGTTTCTAAGGGCTTCAACCAAGGCTCAAAATTTGTCTGAAATTGTGTGACAATTTTTGACAGCTGTGTGATGTCACTTTTGCAAATACAATTTCATTAGATATGTATGTTTAAACCTATATATGTGCAAAGCTGGAAAATTTAGAAGCTGAGGTGAGAATTTCACCATATATTTAAATAAAACTATGGTTACAGGGATGGAAAGCAGCTTCCATCATAGAATTGCTGTGGTTCAGAAACAGATGGTAGCTCACATGCCAGCAAAGCAAAGGGTGTTTACCCAAATCACTGTACAATGACTTCTGGTTAAGAGAACACCCATCGGGAAGTAGAGCACAATGTTCTTTTGGGAAAAGTATTCTCTAAAATGGAGTTGGCCACTGGACACAATATGCTAAGGCTGGTTAATAAACATTTATTGATTACTTGTGTCATGACACACATGCATCAACATATGGAATGAACAGAATAAGTAAAAGAAAAGCAGTAGGCAGCTGTATGTTAACAAACTGTAACACCCAGTCACTAGGTCAGGGGTTTCCAACTCATCTGGCCCCATAGGCCAGATGATAGGCACAGGACCAGTTCATAGGCCAGATCAGGCTCACAGGCCAGCCCCATGCCAGCTTCAGTCCTGTACACCACATGCTGTACGCAACACACAGGGCCAGTCCAGGATGTGTGCTGTCGTGTGCAGAACACATGCCAAACTGGCCCTGCATGCTGGATTCAGCATGTGTGGCCAGTCTGTAGGCCTGATCCAGACTGCTCCCAAATCCAGCATGCGGGACTGGTCTTGTGCAGGTGCTGCATGCAGCACACATCCTGGACTAACCCATGTGCTATAGGTAGCAAATGCTCTGAATCCAGACCCAGCTTCACATACCACATGATGCCAGGGCCAGTGTGCTATATGTGGCATGCAGGGCTGATCCATTATCCACAAGAAGCACCACAGACCAGATAATAGGACTGTACAGGCCATGTCTCTGTCACCCTGTACGTTTAGGCAGAATTCTCTGAATAGGGAAATTCCATTTCACCACAAGGCTGTCCCCTAAACTGAACTGGCACCTTGTGGGGCATGTTCCTGTAGACAGAAGCTACTGTATTGGGTTCTTATATCAAGCATCATAGTTTACACATCATCACCTTGAGAGGAGGTGGCAGAGTAGAAAGATTCCATGAAGTACCTGAACTTGCCAAGATATTTGGTTGTAGACCCTTTGCCCTCCAGAGCCGTGGTTTTCAACCTTTTTTCATTTGCAGATCCCTAAAACATTTCAAATGGAGGTGCAGACTCCTTTGAATTGTAAATGTGGGTATTCACATACTTTTGATTGATCATAGTCCTCTTTCACAGACCCCTTAAACACAGTCTGCAGACTCCCCCTGGCCCACAAACCATAGGTTGAGAACCACTTCTCTAGAGCACTACTGTACTGCGTCATTCTCTTTTTGTAACGAATAACATCATTCCAGAAACCTTTCTTGTTTCTTTTATTATAGACAGAGTGCTTGCTGTGTGTTTCAGTTGTTTTCTTTTCTCTTTGTAGGTCCAAGTTCAGTTAAAAACAAGAAAAAAGGTAAGTTAATTTACCTTACTTGTCAGTTGTAATTATTTCAAACACGAAGCCATCCCTAACTGAGAACTCTCTATTCAGTAAAAATGTAGGGGACTTCCATGTGACCTACATATTACGCCAGGGGTGGGCAATTATTTGGGCCCATGGGCCACATAGGCAGTTCTAGGGAGATGCCATGGGCCAGTCAGCACCTTTCTCTTCCCCCCCATCCACCCCTCCACAACAGCCTGGAGCCCATGCACCCTGCAGCTCCTTCCCACCGCTGCCAAGATTGCACAGCCCCAGCCCCAACCCGCACCCCATGCCTGCTCCAGACTCACCCTGGCTGGAGCGGACCAGCCAGAACCATGCGCACAGCCGTGACCCCAGAGACCCTGCACCTGCCCCAGACCACCTGCCCATGCTGAGCAACAGCAGCGGCTAGGCAGAAACTGCTGCTCAGCGGAGGAGAAAAGCAGCCCCTCCCTTCACTGCTGCCAGGCCCTTCTTGCTCCAGCCACCCAGAGCCTGTGCTCCAGCTGCCCTGCAGCTTCTATCCACTGCCATCACCACCACCTCCAGCTCGCCCAGTGAGGCAGTGGTGGCAGTGCAGAGGAGCCACAGGGCAGCCCAGGTACAGGCTCTGGGTGGCTGCAGCAAGAAGGACCTGGCAGTGGCAAAGGGGAGGGGCCACTTTTCCCACGCACCAAGCAGCAGCTTCTGCCCAGCCATCACCACTGCTGCCTCTGCTCAGCACGGGCGGGCAATTCTGGAGCTGGCACAAGGTGGGCTGGGGCTGTGTATGTGGGTTCCAGCTGGTCCAGAGCCAGTCCGCTTCTCTGGGCTGTGTCCAGAACAGGTGCTGGGCAAGCCAGGGTCGGGTGTGTGTGCAGGTCCCCACCAGTACCATGGGGTTGGGGTCAGCAGTGATGGTAGCCAGAAGGAGACACTGCCTCCTGGGCTGCCCGAGCCCTGCTGCGTGCCCAGGGGACAGCAAGATGTACCCTGGGCCAGGAAGGACTGAGGGACCTGTTGTGGGCTGGACAAAGTCCCTCCATGGACCGTATTTTGCCCACCCCTGTATTAAGCTCTCACTTTTGAGAGAGTACTTTTAGAAACACATTAATAAAATCTTTCTTAGAATCTGGCACATTAGTATTCAGGGGAGGAAGTACAGGGGGTACAGTTATAGTTAATTGCATAGTACACAAATAATTCCCAAGTCACTATATTTGCACATACGGTTGGCTGAGTCACAGGCCAAACTATCACTGGCTGCTTGTCATTTATCGTGTCATCTCAGTAAAAGTATATCAGCACAATCTCTCATTCTTCAATTGTTTAACTTGTGGACTTTAATATTTTAGCAAACATATCTTTAATTGGGGATCCACTGAATTAAGTAGGGTGTGGATCAGATAGAAATGGATTAAATTAATTATAAATATTAGGTAAGATTTATTTAAATACCCTTAATAATAGGTGTTTGCTTCATTTAGAAGCTATTTCTAGGCTGCATAACAGTTATTTTGACTGTTTTGTATCACATATTTCAAGCTGTTCTAAATGTTCAAATTTATAACAGCTTATTGTATTGTACATGGATTGAGTTACCTTGCATATAGTCCATCTTGGTTTCAGTAGTACATATGAATGCTGCTGTGCTCACAGCCCTCTTTGCAAATACGTATGTTTGTGCAGAAATGTTCTATTAGGAATCTGAGCACATTGAACATCTTAATTGCCTACAAAACTCCCTCCCAGGAAACTGATTTCAAAGTGTCAGGGTCCCTAGAGTTATGCCTTGCATCTATGGAAGTACCTTTTTGTGTTCTCTGAGCACTGTTGTGTACAGAATTAGAACATTCTGTAAGTTAAAAAAACAAACCAAAAAACCCCCGTTTCTATGCAAACTGTACAGCCCTTGGGCTCCTGCAAATATATATGGCTTGTGTGCTTTTATGCATGCATTTAAATTAAGCACACGCTTACATTCATCCCTGTTCAGCAAAGCACTTACATGTGTGTTTAATGCTAAGCACGTGTGTAAGAGTTTGATGAACCAGGCTGGATTTAGGCTTGTGTTTAGTGGTCCCCTGCTTTAAAACTCTAGTGCATTTTACAGATAATTAATTGAAGAAAGGAAAGCAGGCTGATTATGTGATATGTTCTCTGCCACTGTCTCTGCAGCTTAGCAAAACCTTTCTAATGTGGACCAGAGTTTCCTCCACCTGCAAACCTCTGTGTGTCATTTTTTGGCAGGAAGATTAAAAAGGAGAGTGCCTATGTTATTTGCATATGCAAACTACTGTCTTCACTAAAACACATCACTTTTGCTCCTTATGGGCACACTTGGGAAAGTTCAGTCTACATTTCTTAACAAAAGTGTCCTAAAACATATTTTCTAGAAATTTAAACGACCCCCCCAAACTGCTTAATCTATCTCATATTAGACCAGTTGAACTAGAAGTCTCCTAGGAATTAATAATTATGACATTTACACAGTTTTGGAATACAAGGGCTATCATAGGGCTATATTAGCTAATACTTTTTAAAAAAATCTGTTTTATTGCCATACTTTGAAAATATAGGGGTTGCTTGCTGATTGGCACGTTACACAGAAAATAGATCATTTCTCCTCACTTTGAAAAGTAAATTTCTGGATGCTGCCTGATACATCTGGCTAAAGAAAGACTTGGCAAGTTGGGAACTGGATAAGCAACACACACTATAAAATTATTCACACTGGCAATTGCTGGAGGATACTGTTAAACCTATCTAGATTTATGGGATATGACCACTTTACTCAACGCATTGTGTGTTGTGTACAAGCCACACAGATGTTGTCTGTGCAACTAAAATGATCAGGTCTGACTCATGATTGAATGCTATATTTGAGGGGATATGCCAGGATATTTCTATTTCTTGATTTCCCTCCTTTGTCATACATGTACACACTCACTCTTTGGTTCTTCTTTCTCTGGGCAAAGGATTTCTAATCTGGATGGAATTCTGTTCAAGTGAGTGATGTCTGTAACATGTTTTGTTGCCTATCTAAATAGATGGTGAATCTGAGCTACCTTTAACTCATCCACACAAAATCTCTACAACATTTAAAATGTTTCTATTTTCCAAATGCAGTGGTTCTTGCATGCAGCTCCCTATCTTGGGATGTTCTTCTTCACTAGGGAATGAATCAAAAGTCTTCACATGTACTGTGTAGCTGTTTCTATTCAAATCAGTAAGCAGAATTCCATGACTCGTGAAAAATTAATTGAAATGCCTTGATGTAGCAACAGGAATGCACAGCAAATACCTGCCCATCTGCTGCTTTCAGGATTACATGCCATAGTTTTACACCTGAAGTAACAGCTAATTTAGTAGCAGAACAGGCCTCTGGGGCAAGATTAATTAAAACAGCTGCAGTGTGTATTCCCTTTTGGTTCTCAAGGCAGAGCCAAGAGAGACTGCAGCGAACCTGGCTTAGGTGCATATTTGATCCTGTATTAAGATAGCCTAGGATAAAGGTGATATAAACCAAAGGAATGTAATCAGGATGCTTTAGGCAAGATGTGTAAGGATCTGGAGTTGGGTTCAAGTTGATACTTTCAAAAGAATGTCATCCTAAGGGAGAGGAGAGCTAAGGGAATTGGAAGAAGACTTGGGTAGCTGCCAGATCAGATTTGAAAAGGCATGCACACCAACTGAGACAGAAATGCTACCAGCAGTATCAATTTGTTCCCCTTTATACCCTCTCCCCACCCTCATAAGACATGTGTACCATTGTAATGAGATCATTTAAATAACTTCTAGGCTTAAAGGAAAAGAACAAGAGATACCGGTTTTAATTTTCCTTATGAATAGAAATACAGGACCAGGCAGAGGGAGGGAATAAGAGAACACAGCTGCTGCTGATGAAGCGAGCGTTGCTACACTCATATGTTGGAACCATGAGGGCCAGGAAGCCAGAAACAGGTAGAATGGTCAATGTTAATAAGAACTTGGGCTCCCGAAGGAGAGCCGTAAGGGCATTCATAGATGACGTGGTCAGCTGCCTGAGCTTGAGCACCACAGCTGCGCTGGCATCATTGGAGAGGCCCCAAGGCTGCATTCTTTCCTTAAATGGTCCAGTGCCCATTCTGAGATGGTTAAGAGCTGTCCGGGCCCTGCGGGGCAGCTGCTGTCCTGGGAGATGGAAGCTGGTGTTGGGGATGAAGTTCTTTAGCTGAAAGAATTCAGCTATTTCATACAATCAGTGGGTTCTCAAGTCTGTATGTATGGCTTGTACAGAAAAGGAAACTGTCTAACCTACATTTCAGATAAAGAAAAAAATGAACATTTGTGCCATCTAATGAAGGAAAAAGAAATTGCAGCTTCCATCAAACAAACTAGGGGAGAGGGTATGCAACTAGATTGGCACAGCAGCTTTGAGGTTGATTTCTGTGCTTCTTGCTTAGCTGCTGTGCCATGGCATATGGTTTGGGCAGACCAGAGTGAGAAGTATATGGCCTTTCCAAATCTGTTAACCAAAATACTGAGATTTATTTCCTTGCATCTTGGCACTGATATGTGCTGAGAAGTGCAGTGACTGTACGAAGCCATTTCAGTATCTTTAAGCACAAAGACCACTTCAACTGACATTCTGTCATCTGAAACAGTTGGTGAATTCTCTCCCTATGACGGCTGTATTTCAGGTGATGGAGAGATTTATGAGCTTTGCAAGCATACAAGAAAGTTGCTGTATAATATAAAATTGCTTTAAAAAACTATTTGAAAAGAACATTATTTTGCATCAAGGTCTGGAAGGTTAGGAAATCCCAAATGAAGCTTGCATGGGGTATCTTATTCAGCCCTTTTGTGCATATGCATTATAATCTTTATTTACATGATCATGATGTTTTATCCACAGGATCCTTTCTATATCTAGCGAGCATAATGGATGGTGTTCAAAGAGACAGGCAACTGTTCAGTATTTTTTTTTACCCTTGCTATGCAGTCCTTCGCCTAAATTATTGCAGCCAAAGCCTTAAATCTAAAACTCTTAATTTTCTCAAAATCTTTCCCATGGCAATCATAGTAGGAAGTGAACCTCTCACAAACATTAATGAATTTATCTATATGATAACATAAAAGACCACCATGATCTGCATTTCACATTGTCCAAGACTAAGTGACAAAGGAAAGATTGTAATTCAAATCCACCAGGTTCCCAAACTTCTGCTCATTTTTCCCAACCACAAGCTGTCCTGTAGAGAAAAATGCTACATGATTATACAGTGAAAACCTTAGGGGCTGTACATGAGGGCCCCTATAAGGCCCCTTCCAGTAATGCCTAAAGCTGGTTGACAAATGTGTGACCGAGCCATTTTCCATTAGAAAAACATCTTGCCAAATGCTTCCAGCAAAAACGTGACAGGAATGACAGGGCATTTCATGCTTACTTGATTGTTTCAGCTTTGATTATATTATAAAGTTATGATTATTGACATGGAACATTTTTTCCTTATTGACAGAAAAAAACATTCAGGTTCTTTTACTTTTCAAAGATACAGAGAATAGTTTTTGTTTTGTCCTGTTTGTGAGGGACCAGATTTTAGTATCTCAGAATTAATAGAATTGGAATGAAATTCTGAATTTTCATTGGCAGAACGGGGCCAAATTTAGGTTGCAGAGCCAATGCAGTTGTCTGCATTTTTTTTAAAGATAAATGCAAATTGTTTTATGTGCAACTGCAATAATTCACACCTGGTAACATATATCACTGGTGGGGTTTAAAGCTCCTAAAAAAAAAAAGTTAGCAACAGTGTGAGAAATAATCTGCTTCAGTCCAAAAGATACATGGGGAGAAACCCAGCCATCTCTCCTGTCAAAATCCCAAGTTGCTTCCTCCCCATGCAGTGTTACCAAAGAAACAGTATTAGGTAGTGGAGCCATGTTCTCAAAGAACCTTTTGAGCTTACAGATTCATTCCAGGCTTCACCATGTCAAAGTACAGACTTTGGCTGTCAACCATCCTGTCTTTTTAGAGGCTAAAACTACAGAACTTGAGCACCAAAATGTGGTGCAGTTAGCCTATATGGACACAGTAGATCAGGCTTTCCAAGGAAGTAGGTTACACTAGAGCTTTAGGGAAGAAGGTTTGGCTCCATGTTTGTCTGAGGAGTCTTCCAGGACAGCAGACCCCTCCCGCTTCCCCCCATTTTGCTCTCTTCAGTCTTAATTATTCACATCAAAGAATTAGCTTCCTTTCTGTCCTGTGCACTCATTTCATATGGCAAGCCCGGTTGAACCCACTTGGATCACAAAATATGAGCTGGCTGTTTCATCTTGCTTTCAACTTGTCTTGCACTGGCTTCAGCTCAGCTGAAGCTCCTAGCACAGAATGGGAAAGTGAGTGTATAATATAAAATGGCTTTAAAGAACTTTCTTTTCTTCACCCCACTGCTCTTGTTTAGGAGACCAGGGGAAGTTGTCTCATGGCCTTTGTATGCCATATTCAGTAGACAGAGAGAGTAATCTGCAATCTTGTATTTTTCAGGTAAAAAGACTGGTCCTCCAGGGCCCAATGGCCCTCAAGGGCCACCAGGGCCTCCTGGTCCGCAGGGTCCTCCAGGCATCCCAGGGATCCCTGGAATTCCAGGCACGACTGTAATGGGACCTCCTGGCCCTCCTGGTCCCCCTGGCCCTCAGGGACCACCTGGCATGCAGGGCCCCTCAGGTAAGTGTATTATTTCATTTCTTCTTGGACAGATACTGTGCTGAATATAGTGATGAGGGTAAATACCATGGAGATGAGTGCCCCTAAAACCTGAACAGAACATACCCCATTGACCCTTCCTTCAGTTCCAACCCCAGTCAACACAGCTACATAAGGAAAGATGCTCTAAGTGCCATGCTTAATATCTGAGCACTAGTACACTCCTGAATGTCATGAAAAACTTGACCTAGATAGGGGGAAAGAGGTAAAAAACTGCCTTACCCTTACCAGCTCCTTATCAGTTGGCAAATAGACTACTCCAGCTGATCACACGTATTATGCAGTACATATCCCGGACAAGCAATGTCTGATCCTGCCCCAAAAAAGCTTTGCCTAGGTTTTGATGTAGCAGTTAAGTGATAACAAACAGAAGATGGTGAAGGCAAGAGGATCATGTGGGTGCTCTGGTTTGCACACACTGATATATTAGTTGTTTCTGTCTCTAATAGACTGAGCATGAGTTAATGATCCCCCTCCCCCCAACAACTGGAAGTTTTGGTATGGTTACTTTGATTTTCCATGAGCTCTTAAGTGGTTCATTTCCTTTCTCTGTATATCTTTGTCCCTATCTGTATTACAAGGGTCTTGCAGCATACATCTCAAATATTTTGAGATCTTCAGAGGAAGTAGAACTGCAGACTATTATTCTCTTAACCTTCTAGTGAACTTTGATTTCACTGGTATTGAAGTCTACAAACAGCTGTGACTCCTGTGTGTAAGATATGTAGAGTAGATTGGCTTTGGGTTGCCTTGATTGTAGTTTGGGTAATCTGCCTTAATTCACACATCTGCCTTAATTCACACATCTGTTTTAAACTTTTGGTAAAGATAAAGCTGGATCAGTAAGGCCACTGCTTGACAAATTCTAAATTAATCAGAATAGCCACATGCAGCATAATTGTTTTGCCCCTTATATGAAAATACTGTTTCTCCTACACTTCCTTTTTCATTGTATTTTCCATCATTTTGCATGGGTGCTCACTATCACTTTCTTATCAAATTTGGTGTCTTATGTGACCTTTACTGTTGTTGAAAACAGTGGCCTTAACTAAGAACGCTTGAAACCAGGAATTCCTGACAATTACAAGAGGCTATTTTTTAAATTTGCTTTAAATAATAAAGCACTGTTTGCAGTCAGAGTTATTGCTTTATGCCTCATATGGCTTCTAGAGGAAACTTGGCTGGTTTCTAGTCTCTATATCAGAAGTAGCCAAGTGCAGTCCACATGCAACATGTAGTAGTTAGCATTTTCCAAATGCTGGCCATAGCCACCCTTATCTTTAATGAAGTATTGTGGGTTAGAGAGGTAAAAGATCTCAATGTGCAGTCTGCTGCTCAGGATGCAGCACTGTATGCTGGAACCTGTAATCTTTGCAAGAACAATCCTCATGCTCAGTGAGAAGGTGGCTGCAATCTGATGCATTGAATGAACAGCATTTTTATTGAGAGTGGATGGGCAATCTCAATGGGTCAGATAGAAATTTGAATCTACAAAAAGGATAGAGTGAACCTTTTCGCACTGAGAGACCTGCTGGATATTAAGATTTATACTATATGTTGTCTTTCATCCTCTCTGCTCAAAATCTGAGCCTAGGAAAGAAAAAAACCCCAACTTGTTAGTAGGAGATTTGCTACAGTGAAGGTTTCAGACCATTTCCAAATACCATTATTATTATTGTAAATATCCTGTCTTGCAGGTGCCACGGACAAAGCCAGTTCGAGGGAGGTACAGGTTGGTTAACTGTGTCTCAGAGAAAATGCCACTTCTTGAGTTGAATTGATTTTTGTTTTAATTTTACAGGATGGTTTTTCCTAGATGGACACTTTAGACTAGAGTATAATTCTGAAAGTAACTTTCTTCATGAAATAGGCATCTCTGTTAACTAGTCTTTACACTCATACAACAAGAATCGACCACAATCACCTTTATCACTTGAACTATCAGAGGAAATAGTGTTGATTAGTTGTTTACCAAACAGATTGCCATTATGCTTCTCTAGCTCTTTAGAACAAGCCAAGAGAATGTTTTTATGTTTGTTTTGTACAGAAAGCATTGCTAATCTACAAGGAGGTTCAAACAGTTCTTGGGGTCTGAATATTGAAAAAGCTGAAGACTATATGAAAAGGACTTTCTGAATACAAATTAAAACACTTCTTCTTTGTGGCAGTGTAGTTGATAATCATGATGAGTCCTCTTCACAAGTTGTGTGTTGCTTAGAGTTGAATAGACTATCATAGTGCCTGCATCAGTTCTCTAAAGCTCTTTAACAGCTGTTCTGTGTCTTTGTCCTGGTCATCAGTTTTATAGGGATGTGCCAAGTTTCTTAAAAGAACAGAACAATGTATCTTGCTAATTTTAAACTGCTGTATTCTTATTTGCAGCCAGCTGTGGTTCACCTCCAGGGCCAAGGTTCAGCAATTCAAGTAAAGAATGGTAAGATTTCCAAGAGATTATCGGCCTCTAACCTCAATCTCATAGGTGGGGTCTTTTAGGCAGTACACCATATAGCTGGGATCAGTAGGTCCCTTCCATATGGTGCTCTATTGGCATTAGAGTGACAGTACTATTCCCTCATATGACTCTGTCTGCTGCCTTTACCCCATCAGTTTAACTTCTCTTGTTCCTCCTTCGTCCTCTTCTCCCCTGTGTTCATACATAGTTGTCTCCAAATAGATTCCCTCTCCCAGTCCTCATTCCTGATTTTGAAAGAGATTATCTGCCTCATCAAACCATTAATCCAACCCCATCCATTGACTAGCTAGCCCTCTTCCCTTATCCATCTTTTGCCTTCCTTTCAGTCCTTAATGTATCCTATACCTTCCTCAACTCAGTCAGCCTGTGTTTTTCCCAATTTTCCAGCTGTCTTTTCTCAGGCTACCAGCATCTTTATCCACCCTTAGCCCCCAGTTCCATCAATATGTCCCTTGTCCTTAATCCCTGTCTTGCTCCCCAAAGATCACTGAGCTGTTAGTGGAACAGTTCTCTGATAAGTGGTCCTGTGCCTGGACCCAGGCCGATTTCACTGCAGCACAAATCCTGTTTCTTGTGCGGTGCTCTGAGGCATTCATTTCCCAACTGAGGACACAGACTATAACCCTCTTTCATACACAAGATGCTGCTGCTGCCAAGTGCTATGTGGGCTGGGGGGAGGCAGTAAGGAGGGACTGGGGAAGTGGTGACCCCTACAGCTTCCTTGTTCAGCCCAGTACTCACACTGGAAGACCTTGTTCTCAGATGCTTATAATTGTCAAACTTTACCTGCTAGCTTGGATGCATCCTGCGCTGGGTGTCGACTACCAGCTGATTTCCTCCCCACCCCTAAATTTCAGCAAAATTGTTTCCAAATATCAAATTAGACAAAGCAACTTATTTTCTCTGTTTTCAAAAATAACTATCATTGTTCGAATGAGAAGCTCTTGCTCCCAGCCAGGACTTGACATTAGTAGGTCACCCAGAAGTTAGATTGATGAGCTGTGCTGCACCTGAAGTTTGCCATGTGATACTCCTCTAAAAGTGTTTGGTCACACGTGCTCAGTAAAGACTTGTTTAGCAACAAATTTGTCTAACATATTCTGCCTGTGGTAAACTTACTCCAGTCTCATAAAGCCCCATGAGAAAAACAAGTATCCTGCAACTGCTCCTCCCAGCTGTTGTGGTCCAGTGTGCACCAAAACTGAGTGCAGGAAGACTTGGTTCTCTTATGCCCTCAAGAGGTCTCCTTGCTCCTCCTGCCCAAGTAGGAGGAGGAAATGGCCTGACTTGAATGCACAGAGAAGCAGGGGAGGGGGCTTGGGCAAAAGGAGTTTAGTTTCTTACGTTGATTAGGACATTTACCTGCTCACCAACCATGCTAAAAGGTTGCAGTGTTAAAACACATCCCGGCACGTAGGCTTCTTGAGACAGCCTTTAATTACCCCATCACATACAAATTTTTTCTCCACAGGATCCCATGCTCATTTGGTGCCCAGACTGCCTTTGCTCTGGGCATGAATCAGAAGTGTGTAGCAAACGACGCCATTGTCTGTAGAACTCCTGCTGCTTTGATTGCAGAAGGAGAAGCTGTTCAGTGACTGAGGCAGGAGTTGCAGCCCTTAGGTGTTGGAGTCTGTCCCTGATTCTGTCACAGGGCATTTGTACACGTGATGAAAATTGCCCGTTTTAGCAGTTTAATTGTCACTGTTTACACGTATGGGTTTTTTGTGCTGTAAATGAGTTTGTTGCAAACTAAACCACATCCCCATGTAGTTTAGTTTGCAGTGTAGCTATGTGTAACATTGCAGCTTTTAATCTGACAGTTTGCTGCCCCCAGCCACAGAAGAGGCGAGCTGAAGGCAGAAGCCACAAGGAACCTAATCTTTTTTTTTTTTTCTTTTCTTCGCTGAGTTTGTCTGCATCTCCCATGGCTGGGGGGCAAGCTGCTGGTGGGCTGAGTGGCACCTGAGCTGCAAGGGACCCTGGTCCTTCCCTCCGTGGTGGTGGTGCCCCCTGGGGCCACCCACCCAGGTGGGCTGTTAGTGGGCCAGGGGCTGCCGTAGCTGGGGCTCAGGGAATAGGTGGATTGGACTGGGTGCTGCCTCCAAGCTGGGGCAGCCTGGGGCCCATTAACAGGCAGCCCCAGGGGGTACCACACCTGTGGAGGGAAGGACCAGGGCTCCTCGCAGCTCAGGGCCCACCGGCAGCTCACTCACCAGCCTCAGGCAGGCTTCACAAAAAATAAAAAGGAACTGGGCCCCTCACCGCTTTTTTTTTTTTCAAGTGGAGCCTGCCCGTGAGCTGCCCGGTGGGCTGAGCGGCCCCCAAGCTGCAGGGGGCCTGGTCCTTCTCTCTGTGGGTTCGTCTGGGTAGGCAGCTAGCAGGTAGGTGCTGCCTCCAACTCTTCCCTGAGCCTGCCAGGGCTTCCAGCACCACGTGCACCATCACCGCTGCCTTGTCACCACCTGGGACTGCCCAGGAATGGCCTGGCTTGCCCCTGGGGCAGCACAGGGAAGCGGCAGGAGGTTGGCTCGGTGTGCTGGCAGCCGGAGAAGGTGGCAGGGATGGTGCGTGCAGTGCTGGAAGCCCCAGCAGGCTTGGGGAAGAATTGGATCCAGTGGGGGCTGCCTCTGAGCTGGGGCTGCCTCTGAGCTGCTGCCACGGAGGGAAGGACTGGGTCCCTGCTCATGCGTGCAGGCTACCCTGGGGGGAGAGGGGGAGCAGCAAGGGGCATAATCCTTATTTTATTAATTTATTTTAAAATAAGGGGGTGCCGCTGCTGCAGAGGGAAGGACAAGGCCCCCCTGCAGCTCAGGGGCTGCTGAGCCCACCAGCAGCTCTACCCCCCCTCCTCCCCCCCCACGCCACCTGGCTGCAGGAGAGGTGGGCAGGCTCTGCAAAAAAATAAAAAGAATAAAAGGATTATGCCCTTCACCGCAACAGTGACAGATGCCCCTAAATTGAAATGGTGGGTTTTTAATCATCACAATTAAAAACCCACCATTTCAATTGGAATTAAACCCCCGTCACGTGTACAATCACCCAGAGTTTCTAATTGATGTGGGGCAGGTCACTTATACAAAACTCTTAATAAGGGCCACATTATGGATTCTTCATTTACAATTTCCCATACCTGAGGTGCTTGGGGTCTGAGTTGCTGAAGTATTAAATAGCCACTGTTGTAATAGAAGTCAGTTGGGCATATGAAATAATATAAAAAATGCATTTTACTATGAAAAATCAGGCTGGAGGTATCTCAGATTAGGTACCCAAAATTGGCAAATACTTTACAGTTTTGACTTGATCTCTGTGAGTGTCAGTTTTCCCAGCTATGAAATGAGAATAACAGTAGCTATTCTCACAGAAGCATTGTGAAGATAAATTCATTAACTTTTGTAAAGCACTCATTATATGGGGAAAGCATCATAGAAGCACCCAGGAGGATATGAATTCTTTTGTATTCAGGATAGAGTGTGAATTGTGCACAACACAAAAGGCCTGGAGCCATATGCTGAAAGATGCAGATAAAAAGAAATATTCAATATGTATCTATTCAGCAAGCATCATCCATCCTGTGCATTGAATGAGGCTGATGTCCTGTACAAAAATTGTAAGTCAGCAGGTATTTAAAGACCATATTGTCAGGTATTTAAAAACCATATAATGATGAAGGTGGTCAGGTTAATTCATTGACTGTATTCAGGGGTGGATCCAGTGGGAGTGGTGGTACAGTTGCACGTGCCTTCTGCCACTGGCTGATCTGGGCACAAGGGGAGCCCCAGAGCTCTCCTGCCTTGCAGGCTGTAGATGTGCAGGGTGCCAGGCTTGGCAGGGGACAGCAGTGATGGTGCACAGGTTCCTCCTTCCAGTGCCTGCTCCCTGCCAGGGGACACCTGTGAGGGTGAGGAGGGCAGGCAGCGGCTGGAAGAAGAAAACTGCACACTGCTTCTGTGTAGCCATTCCCCACAGCCCCTGGCTGGAGTAGGGCAGGAGTGGCTCTGGGCTCTGTGCCCCTCTCCCCTCATGCCCCTGGGTCAGATGGGGACAGCAGCAGTGGTGTTGGCAGGAGGACTCACCCCTCCCCCTTCAAATGCCTACTCATGCTTAGCTCCCTGCTGTTACCTACCAGCCCAGGAGCTCCAGCCACACCTTACCCCCAACCCCTCATGGTCTGAGGGACAGTGAGCTGTACCCCCCTTCCTTTACTGAATCCTGGATCTTCCCATGTTCATATTAGTTATGGCAATTCCTAATGTGAATGTTTGATTTAGCACCTTTAATCCTCTTTTCTCTGGTTGTCCTATGTAATAGATCAATGCCATTGTTTTTCTGTTGCTACCATGCTTTTCATTCTGACGAGTACTGAGTGACTGCCGTTTTCTCATACTGAGATCTTTCAGGTGGAGTCCTCAATGACTGGTCACGCATCACTATGAACCCCAAGGTGTTTAAGCTGCATGCCCGCAGCGGGGAGCTGGAGGTACTGGTGGACGGCACATACTTCATCTATAGTCAGGTAGAAGTGAGTACGGTCCTGGGCCTAACTCCTATTCTTGTATTATAAATGCAAGCTTTGCATGAACCACAACCAGCAAATTCCCAGAACCTCGTGTATCTTCTTAAGAATTTAATATTCTGGGAAGAGTGAGGGAATATAAGAGGAAGATGGGGTATTTTTGAAATCAGAAGGTCACACATCCACTATAATGCTAGCTGGCAGAGACTGGTTGCTGAACATGCATCCATAGTCTACAAATGCCTTTTCTTTCATTCCCTTCTGTGTAATTACTAGCAAATGTAACCCTTGTTCCACATTAGTACTGAACAATAGTCTCGGCAGGAAGCTGGCTGTTAGTCTGCTGTCTTATAAAACAAATATAAAACCAAAGTCCTGACTTGTAATCATTAAGAACCAGCACCATTCTTCAGAAACTCAGGATTTTGCCTGGGCGTCCTACTCAGATTCCAGCTGAGGTCAATCCAGTCCATCTTCCCAGTTCCCCAGTGGAATCAAATTGATACAAGGCACTTCCAAGGATCAATGTCTAGAAAGGCCATCTCTGCTAACCACCTACTTACATTGACTCCAGAGCTGGGTGAAATGTGTGAGTACAGTTCAACATGAAGAGTGCTATGCAAAAAAATTATTATACACTGTGCTTCTTAACATAGCTAATTGGGACATCTCCCCCTTCAACCAAATGTTACTCAGAAGACGGATTGCCATTTAATCTTGCTGTCACAGTTTCCTGATAATCTGTGTCCAGGGTTTATAACCTACAGAAGAAACAAGGCAGCTAGAGAGCTGCTAAATCCATCTTAGCCCACTGCATTCACTTCTGGCAAGAAAATCTGTGTAAGTTCTGGGTCAAATTTTAGTGATGCCACAGCTGGCCACATGGAACTACTGCAGTTAAGTATCTTCTGGATTACTTATCTGTCTGTTGTTAGCAGTTCCACTAGGATCATATCATATCCTAGTGGAACTGCTAACATGCAGCATAAACTTTAGACATCAACAAGTCATTCAGAGGCTCTTCCATAGTGATATACAAGTTGGTGCTCAACAAGAAGGAACAAGAAAGGCATCGCTATATGAACTAGAGTTGCTGACCACAGTATTTCACTTCCAGAGCCTTTGTCCTGTGCAATCTGTAAAGGAAAAGTAGAACCCAATTGGAATTTGGAGTGATATCCTAGCAGTAAGGGTGAGGGCACCCTTTGTGCAATGAAATCCGCTCCCCTTCTGCAGTGCCTCAGTCAGGCTAAATATCATGCTATGGTGGGTATGCATGGAGTTAAGGAATTAGCAAATAGACATTGCCTTCAGAATCACCAGCTTCTCCTTATCAGGAAGGATAACCTCTAAGAGTAACCACTGCACATACAGTCTTCTACTCTGCAGCCTGAAGTTCTTTAGAATCAGTATATTAAAGGGTATGGAACAGTCTTTGTAGGAAAAAAATGCATAAAACCCTGTCAAAAACTGGTTAATGTCCCAAATCAGTAAGAGAATCTCTAGAGGGATTTCAGTACCTGAGTCAAGTCTATTCATATCTCTATTTTGATTTTAATGCAGGTACTTTAAGTTAATTTTCCCCTGTCATTTACCTGTCAAGCCTCGGTGGATGTAGTTGTTCACAGGTATTTCCATGCTTGTTCATCCTAGCTTGTTCCATGCTAGGTTTATCCAAACACTCTGCATGTTCTCTTGGCTCAGAATAAGCCATCTTACTGCAGAAGTAGGTATGGAGGAACTTTGGAAGTGAACCTCATGATATGTTTGGGTTAGGAAAAGTTCACATGCATTAGTGGACTTACAGAGAAGGCTTCGGGTGTACATATGTGTCCTTGCCCACTCCCTAATATGGTTTCTTTTCTCTGCTTCACATTAGGTATACTACATAAACTTCACTGATTTTGCCAGCTATGAGGTGGTGGTAGATGAGAAGCCCTTCCTGCAGTGCACTAGGAGTATTGAGACTGGCAAAACCAACTTCAATACCTGTTACACAGCTGGGGTCTGTCTCCTCAAAGCCAGGCAGAAGATTGCAGTGAAAATGGTCCATGCTGACATCTCCATCAACATGAGCAAGCACACAACATTCTTCGGGGCCATACGCCTAGGAGACGCACCAACATCCTAGATGAACCTGGCATGTACAAGGAGACTCCCAGAACTGCCTGGTGCTGCTGTTCATAGGTGTTTCAGTATTTCAGGGGGGTCTATAATCCAGCCACAAAGAAAACTGACCCAGAGCTATTTATTCCTTTATGTGAATGCAAAAAGAGCAAGGGTTCCTTTGCGTTGCCTGGAGACTTGGACTGGAAAGGCAGTTGAAAGCCATTATGAGAAAGAAAGGTGGCCCTGTCCTTTTTTGTCTCAGTGTTTCAAGCATTACTGCACTGATACTCTTCTCTGTGGTCCTCCCCTGAGGCTTCTGGTGAGAATGATATGGGTTTCCTGCTTTTATGTTGCACTAGCAAGAGCATCCATGGCAAGAGCAGCGGAAGAGAGACCGACTTCTGATGGATTTTTCTGTCCAGACACTCATACACTGCTGCTTCTGCACATGTATGTGAGCAAGAAGCCCTTGTGGTTTCTTCTTTTCCACCTATGTCAGACAGTTCTAATTGCAATGGTAATGTAATGTGAAAGGTGGAGAATGAGATCAACTGGGTGGTGTTTACATTCATCCTTTGGACTGTGAGAATAAGTAGGTGAAGTGTCTCTATACAGGGCTTGGAAGCAGGCTGCAAATGCAATAAGGGTGAAAGGAGCACCAATAATTAATAAGAGAGCAGGCTGCTGTCATGACTGCCTCTGCATGTTGTAAGCCCAGTGTTGAGATGTTCCTGACAGTGACAGGTTCCAGTGCCACTGCTACTTGCCACTCCTTCCATGTGTCCACAGGTATAAGTTGCCCTACTGTGTACTTCCTTGAAGTGTTGCTGTTGTAACATCAACTTGTACTAACCTGCTGCATACCAAGAAATATTTACAGAGGCTTCACAATGCTGCATGCTGCAGGCACAGATGTCCACATAAACACTTAAAAGCTGCTCGCTGAAATGGGTACTTTTAAAAAGAAAATATTCAAGGAAGCAGGCTAATATTTTCCGAGTTAATAGCAATTATGTGCTGGTTTTCAGGGGGTTTTTCTCATTCTGTACATCAGAAGAATCTTTCATTTTTGGTTTTGCAGCCCTCTACCTTGAAGACATTACAGTAAGTGGTGATGAAATAATCTCCACCAAAATCTGTACTGAAGACTCTGGTCCAATGCACATGCCCACCAATATTGAGTCTGGTCCTAATGTGACTCTTTGGTGTTAATGGGAAAATTATGACACCATAGCTTCTTTAGGCTTCCTAAGTAATGCTTTCCCACCACCTCCTTTGGACTGATGAGAGAGAAAGCCATAAGGTGCATTTGAGGTAGGGAAGGGCTCAGACTTCAGTTACTTCTCTGCATTGTGTACCATTTTTTTTAAAACTGGCTACCTATGTACAGAACACATTTCCCAAACATAAAGGTCACTGGGAGAATAGGGTATTAGCCAACATACAAAAATAATTCCTGAATTGCAGAAGCAAATTCTTAACAGACCGCTTGATACTAACCTTCCTGTCTGTCAGCGTGAACAACTTAATGATAACCTGTTGGATTTTAAAAATGAACCTCTGTCAGTAACACCAAGACAGCAGTGGGATTGGCCAGCTAATGTTGCAGAAATAGCATCCTTGGCCTCACTGCCTTTGTCCATTTGTAGTCAGGGATCTCGTCTTCTTAGCACCTGCCAGCAACTGTATTTGTTGTGAGATAAGGATTTCCTGGGCCTACCAGACTTTGATTTCAAACCTCACTACTCAGAGGAGATCATAGTTTTGCCATAACAGTATGGGAAATTGCCTGCTATTCATTGCTTCCTTCTTTCCAGTCTTGATACATTGGGCTATCATGAGCAGCTGGGCATTTAACTAGCCTTCAGAAGTCTGTTTCCCTCAAAATGAATTTGAGGTGCTCTCCTCTAAGAGTGGTGAATTCAGGAACTCTGTGTGAGATGAGAACAGTAATCTCCATTAAGCATCTCCTTGACAAGAATACTGTAGAATACAGTCTGCTTAGCCTGCAAGACCAGAGCAGGTACCAGGAATGCAATGATCTGGAAGAGTCCAAAGAGTAAGCTTATCTTCTGTGTCCAATGCTTCCAGGCTCCTAAATTCCCACTTGAATGATGTGACAAGGAGCAGGAATACTCCACCCATGCAGAAGCAGTGCCTAACAGCTCTGCCTCATGCCCCTTGTGACCTGTATATATAGCAGCATTGAAGGACTCTACAGGGAACTGAATACTGCCTCCCTCACCAGCTTGCTCTCCGATGCTCAGCTTGTAAAATGTGCCTTTTTAAAATTTTTTTGTATTTGACCAAAGATGATACCGGTATAAGCTGAGCTCCAGAACGCACAGTGCAGGAGGGTGGGGAGCACAGGGTCCTCATCACTAATTGCCAAAGTTATCACTGGCAGAGTGAGCATAACTCCATTGTTATCACTGTCTTATGCCAACAGTGAATGGAACCATACAGAGCCTTTTTATACACCGAGACCAAATGGCCTCTCTCCAGGAACAAAATCTTATAAATAAAGTATGGACCTGCATTATTAAGATGACTAAACTACTGTAAGTTCACAAAGCTGTGGAGCTGGTTCTGGTTGTGGCCTCTCTGTGTCACCATCTCAGGAGCCCTGTTTAATTATCCTGGAGTTGAACAGAACCAGTCTGAGACCAGATCATAGCAGCCAAGGGCTGGAGGTGGCACTCAGCAAGATTGTAACACAAAGCAAGAGCAAACAGGGGCCTGATTCAGTCTTCCACTGTGATGCCTCTCGCTTTAGACAGGCATGAGTTAGGGACAAATTTTAGGGACAGTTTTTTTGCACGTCAGGGACCATGGTCAGACCCTGTGTTTTGCAAATGCAACTC